TAATAATGTATGAATTAGTTTCCATGATTTGCTTGTGGTTTTTATGTAATTGTGGTCTTATTGCAAATGTTTATATCCAAATGTTTGTTCTTTTCTTTCACATGCCTGCCTATTCATGCATCATTGTTTATTTTTAGGTGCCGAGGAGTTGGCTCTGAGTCATGGTAACCCTATGTACAACAGAATGAAACGTTGCTTGGTCTATTACATCAGTATTTCGTTGCATTCATAAGGTTTCCACTGGCCAATTCTTTAAGAAGTGGATGGCCCCTTCCTTCTTCTGAGTCTGTCTTAATCTGGAAACTCCATGAAACCTGTCCATCGTGGGTGACTCAGTGGCATAGCCTCCAGCCTCACAGCAACAACATGTAAACCACAGTAGGACAAACTGACAGACAAGTGGTGGTATTCATGCATAATATATAACAAATTCAGTACAAGCAGTTCCTGGATCATGGACAAGCTCCATTCCTAAATGTCTCTTTTAGTCTTAAAGACTTAAAGAATTTGTAGGTGGAATTTGTAGGTGAGTTGAAAGAGGAGCTCATGGTTCTTATTTAGCCTACATTAGCTCAAGAAAAAGATCAAAACTTTTCCAAGATTTAAAAGGTTCACAAGCAGCAAGTGATGACATTGTGATGAAGAATTTGTTTTGAGTAGGTAATTAGATCAATCATGTCAAGGTGAGGACACATGTACATAATATTAAAGGACAAGTGGAAGCAGGTATTCTAAGAGTTCTGGTGGCATAGTGTTTAAGGCATTTGACTGCTTTTCAGAAGGCTGGTGGTTCAAACCCACCAGCCACTCCTCGGAAGGAAGACTGGACAAGCTGCTTCTGTAGAGATACTGCCTTGGAAACCCAAAGAGGGATCACTATGAGTCAGGACTGACTCGATGGCAATGAGTTTGGTTTTGGTTTGAGCAGTTATTCTTAACCTGGACATTCATAAATCAAAGACTGTCTGTATATGGAAAGCCAGAAGAATATCTCAGTATTCTTTCTCATGGGACTTTATTATGATCAGAATATCCAACTATTTTGCTTTGGACTCTTCTTATTATTCTGCTATGTTACCCCTTTGATAGGAAACCTTCTGGTCCTTGTATCCATTTGATGCAGCTTCCTTTTTCATTAGCCAATGTACTATTTCCTCAGCCACTTATCCTGCGTGGACATCTGTTATACATTCTGTGTGACACCCAAACTCATTGGTGACCTATTAGTGGGAACAAAAATCATCTCCGATAGTGGCTGTATGTTACAGGTCTTTTCCATGCACTTCTTTGGAATGATTGAAATCATCATCCTCACGGTCATGGCATTTGATCGTTGTGTCGCCATCTGCAAACCTCTCCATTACATGATCATCATGAACAGGACAAAATGTCATCTCCTAGTCTTGACTGCTTGGGCTGGTGGGGCTATCCATTCTTTTTCCCAATTTTCTATGATAATCTGGTTGCCTTTCTGTGGCTCCAATGAAATCGATCACTACTTTTGTGCTATTTTCCCTTTGCTGAAAATTGCCTGCACTGATACCTACGTCATTGGTTTCCTTATAGTTGCCAATTCAGGTATGGTTGCCTTGGTAACCTTTGTTCTCTTGTTTGGGTCTTATGTCATTATATTATTCACCTTAAGACATCACTCAGCTGAGGGAAGACGCAAGGCCCTCTCTACTTGTGGGTCACATATCACTGTGGTGGTCTTATTTTTTGGGCCTTCAATATTTGCCTACCTTAGACCTCCTACCACGTTCCCTGAGGATAAAATATTTTCTCTATTTTACACTACATTTGTTCCCATGCTCAGTTCCTTAATTTATACTCTGAGAAATACAGAGATGAAGAGGGCCATGAAAATGGTTTGGTGTCAAAAAGAATATTCAGAAGAAAAGCAAAACTGATGTGTCCTTCTCAATAAGAAAAGAAAAAAATCTGTAATGTAGGCATAAAAGTGGACTTGGAACCAAGGGTCTCTATTAGCTGTCGGATAAATCAATTCACGTTCCTCATGTTATAGATGTCAGAAATGGTGAGCTGAAGAGTGATGAGTAAAGTGATAATTTCACTTGTAGGACTAAGACAGGGTAAAGATATAACTGTACAAAAATATTCTAGGCTAAAAGACTAGTGGCTATACCATACTGAGAAGGAAATTCTGAGGCTGAGCTTGAATTTTTATAGTCATTTATTTGTGAACAATATACATGAAAACCAGGAACATTTTTTTTGACTTTGTGTAGAAACAAAGGAGATTAAATGTAATTTTCAGAAAAACTAAAAAAAAAAAAAAAGATTACCTGCTAGAATATTTGACGAAATCTTATATGATGACATTCTGAAATAAACTACGTAATGACGTCTACATTGTATAATTTGGTTTAAAGTGTAAATAAAAGGGCATGGTAATATCTATGTTCTCAGAGCTGAAGTCCCTTTGTCAACTCTCCCTCATCTCCTTGAACTGTTATAGGCAGGGACAAAGATTTTAAGGACCTAGTGGTAGCATAGTGCCTAAGGCACTTGACTGCTCACCAGAAGGCTGGCGGTTCAAACCCACCAGCCATTCCTCGGAAGGAAGGTTGGGCAATTCTACTTCTGTAGTGATACTGCCTCGGAAACCCAAGAAGGGGTCGCTATGAGTCAGGGCCGACTCGACGGCAAACAACAACAACAACAGTGGTAGCATAGTGCCCAAGGCACTTGACTGCTAACCAGAAGGCTAGCGTTCAAACCCACCAGCCACTCCTCGGAAGGAAGATGGGGCAATCTACTTCCATAGTCATACTGCCTCAGAAACCCAAAGAGGGGTCGCTGTGAGTCGGGTACAACTCGACGGCACATAACAACAACAACCGTGACAGTTTAGGAGCTCTGGTGGAGTAGTGCCTAAGGCATTTGACTGCTAACTAGAAGGCTGGTAGTTCAAACCCACCAGCCACTCCTCGGAAGGAACATTGGGCAATCTACTCCCGTAGTTATACCTACTTGGAAACCCATGGAGGGGTGGCTATGAGTCAGATCCGACTCGACAGCAGTGAGTTAGGTTTGGTTTTTGGAGTGACAGCTTATACTTTGGTTATAGTGTTTACTACATCACATGTATTCAGAATGTGAAATGACAGGATGAGAAAATTAATAGATTTTATTCCTCTCTGACAGAATTCTACCAAATAAATGGCTATATCTCTCCATTTTTTTTTGGAAAAAATATACAAATTAACTTACATAGATATATAGTAGAGATATAAATTCAGTAACCAGTCTAGTGGATAAGGAAGAAGGCCAAGGGGTAAAAAGGCATATTTTCTTTGGTATAATTCTTTTGTATAAATTTTTATTTCCCTAATGGTATAACATGTTTGGCATTTGGCTGCTAACCAGAAGGTTGGTGGTTCAAACACATCCATTGCTTCATGGAAGAAAGATGAGGCAGTCTGCTTCCTTAAAGAGTTGCAGCCTTGGAAACCACTGTGAGTGAAATAGACTCAATAGCGGAGAGGTTTTTTTTTTTTTTTGAGTATGAAAGAACAGAAACAGCAAAATGACAATTATCTGTGGAATAAAAAAACAAAATAAAAAAATAGCATGATGTAACATGATGGCACATGGATAAAGCCCATCAGTTGTAAATAATATTACAAATAGATTTTTGAGAAATATTTCCCAAGAAAAACAAGAAAATGCAGGAATTTTTTTTGCAATCATCAATACCATCAGTTTATAGAAATTATAAAAATAAAAAGGCAAAGCTCCTCGTATTTGTTTTATCACTACTCTACATAAAGAGCAAGTGAATTCAGCCACTGTGACCCTGGGGTAATGTTTAATGACTGAGGCTTTAAAGCACATGACGCTGATTTCTTGGGGTTTGCATAACCTTTATAATCCGGATTCTTTTCAAGCTGTGCAATGGGTCTGATAACTTGGATCTAAAAGAAAGCCACATGGTGAGTTGAATACTAGGGAAGATAAAATCAAGCAACATTCATGGGATTCTTAATGCCTTAAAATAGAAAGAAATACAGCTTTAGAATGTATACTTTACTTAATCATTTATACATTACTTAATTTATACTTTACTTAATTGTATTTAGTTAATCATGTGAGCCTGGATACTTCTAGGAATAACTCTAGTGATACAAATAGAGATTGTGATTTCACTTGTTGAATGTGCAGATCATTCTGATTGCCTTTGAAATATTGTTCTGAATATATGACTTCCCATTACTAGAACACTGGCTGAAAAACATGTGTGAGTTATTATAGTTATGAGTAACATGTACAGTTAGTTGCATGATAATGGAACAAGTCTCCTTCCACCCCAAACATAGTGAAAGACTATGTTCGGGGAAATGTAAACTCAAGGAGCTTAAATGAAATATTCTGAACAGTAGGAATCTGACCAGCATTTCAATAAGGAAAGAGAAAAAGCTAAGGAAAGAACCAGATCCACAACTGAAGCAGAAGCATCAGTGGCAGTGACTTCTCCTCCCATCCCTTTATCCTGCCTGAACGTGTGCCATCTGCTCAATGGATTTTTGACTGCTTATTACATGTAACAGATTGACTGGCCATTAAAATCAAATACAGGCATCCTCTCTGGACTTTATAGACTAATTTGTTTGGGGATTAAGATAGCAATAAATTCAAAGAGCTGTCCATTCAGGCTCTAATCTGATGTTTTTATTGGATAAGCAGATAGGACAATGATACTTAGCTAGGTAGTGAATTTCAAAAAGAAGAAAATAGTATTTGCATTTGTGGTAGAAAGTCAACAAAGTATTATGAAAAATAAAGCCGTTCACAAATTACCGAGAAAATGATAAAACTCAAAGTCTAAGGACAAATAAGCTTCCTGGACCCCACTCATAGTGACCCGTCCTTGGGTTTCCTAGGCAGTATCACTATGGAGATAGATTTCCCATCCTTCCTTCTGAGGAGTGGCTGGTTGGTTTGAACGACTAGCCTTCTGGTTATCAGTCAAGTGCCTTAGACACTATGCTACCAGAGTCCAAATAGGTCACTAACAAAATCTTATGGAACTATCACAAAACTAGAGTCTGTGTTGACCATATCCCTATTTGTTTCCTACAAATAATGATTATTACGACAAAGATTTTACTTATTAACATTTTATATGTATACTATTTTTAATCTTTAGACTTCCTTTCATTAATTCAACAAATATTCACTAATTGTTTGTTAAATTAAGATACTATGCTCTTTTAACAAAAGATTAAAAAAAATAATAATAATAAGTCACTGCTGTGGAGTCTATTCCAGTCATAGCGGCCCCTCCGTGGGTTTCCAAGCCCGTATCTCTCTGTTGTTGTTGCAACTGTTATATGCCGTTGAGTCTACCCGATTCATAGAGACCGCTCCTTGGGTTTCCGAGGCAGTATCACTACGGAAGTAGATTGCCCCATCTTCCTTCCGAAGAGTGGCAGGGAGTAGATTTCCCAACCTTACTTCCGAAGGTGGGTTTGAACCTCCAGGCTTCTGGTTAGCAATCAAATGCCTTAGGCACTACGCCACCTGAACTCCCTAGCAAAGGATACAATAGAGGTAAAAGAAATGAAAATAGATACTTACTGAATCCTTCCCGTGTGTTAGGTAACACTTTCATATATTTTATCTAGCTTAATTCTAACAAGAACTGGGGCATAGATATCATTATCCCAAAACCCATCACTAACCCCTCAGAGGGACGGTTGGGCAATTTACTTCCATAGTGATACCTCCTCCAAAAGCCAAGGAGGGGTCGCTGTGAGTCAGATCCCACTGGAGGGCAGTGAGTTTCTTTCTTTCTTTCTTTTTTTTTCTTTTTTTTACCATATTATTAAGAAGAAATCTATTGGCCCAATGGTTAAAGCCCTCAAGTGCTAACTGAAAAATTGGTTGTTGGAACCCACCAGGAACTCTGTGGAAGAAAAATGTGCATAATCTTTCCGTGAAGATTTATGACCCCTCTGGGGCAGTTCTACTCTGTCCTATAGGGTCACTCTGAGTTGGAGTCGACAGGACAGCAGTGGGTTTTTAAGCTATTACTACTCTCATATGTGCATCAAACTGACTACAATACTACACTTAATTGTATAGCATTATATTCTTTTTGAAGTTCTGTTTTAGTTATTTTTCAATTGAAACTCCGAATTCATTTAGTGACTTAGTTAAGGGAAAATTATAGATGAAAATAATACTGTTGAAAGAGATGAAGTCATTTGTAGAATTGACACCTAAAATTGATGACGGAATTAGAATAAAAACTAGTCTAAAATTGCCTTTGTGTTTAGTCCAACTGATTCTGATTCATAATTATCCTAAAGGACAGAGTAGAACTACCCCCACAGGATTTCTTTCCTAGACAGCAGTGGGTATTAATCATTGTAGGGACAGTTGACCAGGTCTTTTCCCCATGGAGTTGCTGATAGACTTGAACTACTAACTTTTGATTAACATCCACGTACTTAACCATTGTGCCCCCAGGTCTATTTAGCCTAAAATGATTTTTATTACCCACTCCCACTGCCATCAAATTAATGCTGACTCATAGCAACCCTACAGAGCAGAGTAGAACTGCTCTGTATGGTTTCCAAGATTGTAAATCTTTACAGAAACAGATGGTGTCATCTTTCTCTCATGCAGCACCTAGTGGGTTCAGACTGCCAACTTTTTCTTTAGTAGCTGAATCCCTCAACCACTGCACCACCAGAGCTGCTTCTGTTGTTTTGAAGAAGCTAGAGATGTAGAAGGAAAGTTATACATGGTGAATCACTCATTCTTCTTTGTGGAAGAAGACACAAAAAGGAAGAATTGCCAAGAAGGAAAGTAAACCTTACTGTGGAGCCTTGGGAAAGGAGAAAGTAGGAGGTCATACAATTGTTTAGCAAAGTATTTGGTTAGAATGCCAGAGTATATATAATTATTAAGAATACTAATTTTCCTATCAATAACTACACACAGAATTATTAGCTTTGCATGACTACTCTAGCAACTTTACTTTCTGCAGAGGCTTAATTTAATGTGTGAGCTATAATTCTCTTTTTTTTTTTTTTTTTCACCAGAGGGCTGGGGAACATAATTCAGACATTCTAGTCTTTATTTCTGTGCACACGATTAAAATAATAACTTTATGTCCATTCAAATGAATAAGTCATTACTTTAATAGCTGTCCTCAAAAATATTTTAATAATTAATATGAAAATTAAAAACAGCTTTTTAATTTATATGTGAGGAAACAGTTAGTATAAATAGAGGTATGCTAATAAACCTTACTCCTCAATAGCTTATCTAATGCTAATTCTAAATCATAAAATTTCACCAAAGAAATAAAGTCATTCATTTCATTATACTTGTATTTTATCCTCCAGACTTGCTGGAGTTCAAATAATAATAATAATAAGTTCTTTTTGATGAAACATATAATTAACTCAATACATAAAATACAAAGGTAGGGAGGGAATTTAAAACTGAGTTGATGAGAAAATATAGCCACAAAATTAGGACAAAGGATATATTCCAAATTTTAAGGACAGGGAATAAGAATGGATGATGAACTTTGAGGCCTAAAATTATATAAAGAAAATTAGATTATGTGGATATCATTTTTATATTATTTTTCTAAATTATTTGAAGTTTTGGTCCACCTTAACTTCGATGGCTAAATTTTTGAGTTGAGTCCTTGGTTTAATATTATATGTGTTGATTGATGAAGAGATTCAAACTGACTATTTATTCTATATTTGAATATTGATTAAAATCCATTCTATTTGGAATGAAGAGATTTGACTAGTAGATCTCAATATTTACTTCTTGAAAAAAAAATTTAAATAGTTAAATTTACTAAGTTGTGCTATTGACAATTGTTAAAGTATTACTTTAGGAGCAATAACATTTAGATATTAAACTCAAACATTAATGCTTCTACTGCTTATAATACATTTGTCATTTGTTGATTTGTTTGAGCTTCAGATCCACTTTGTGAGAAAGTTTGGGAGGTTTCTTTATTTTAAATATGAGGTAACTTAAGTTCAGAGACATAAAGTGATTCGTATCCAAATCACACACCATAGCTTCATTAAATAATAGAGCCCAGTTCCCAGTTATTTGTCCATAAATGTTTTCCCATGAACTCCTCTTAAACTTCTCTGAATTAAGCAGTGTTAAGATTCTTTCTTGTTTTATGGAAAAACTGACATATTTTAAAAAATAGAAAAATATGATATGATAAGTCAAGAGAAAGAAAAATCAAGGTAAAAGTACTTTGTGCTCCTCTTTTGAAACTACTGATTTATTCCATATTTATTTCATTGTTCACTTAAGTATGTAATGCTAATTGACACACCTGTAGAGAGAATAGTGCCTGTGTGGTATAAACGGTTAAGCACTGGACTACTACCTGGAAAGATGGTGGTTAAAACCCACCCAGAAGCTCCTTGAAAAACAAACCTGGGAATCCACTTCTGAAAGGTAGCTATTGAAAACCCTATGGAGCAGCTCTGCTCTGCACACCTGAAGTCAAAATGCGTAGCAACCAACTCAATGGCAACAATAGCAACAGTAAAAAGAAATATACCTCTATTATAAAACCTCAGTATTTTACTGTTACACATCACTATGAAGACAGTAAACAAGAAATCCAAAAAAAATTAGCAAACAATAGACCAAGGGAAGAGAAATGAAATCCAAAAGTGAACCCATCCACCTATGTACAGCTTATCTTTGAAAAGGGGTAGAAGTCTATTAAATGAGGAAGAGCAAGTCTCTTTAATAATTCATCCTGGAAAAACTCTATATCCACTAGCAGAAAAATGAAGCAGCCCCCATACCTCACACCATACACAAAAGCTAACTCAAAATGGATCACAACCCTAATTTTCAAACCTAAAACTATAAAGGTGTTGGAAGGAAAACAGGGACAATGTTATGGCACAAATAGAATATCAAATGTAGCTAAAAACACACAGACAACAGAAGATAAACTGGAATGTCCTGAAAATTAAACACTTATGGTCATCAGAAAGGAGCTCTGGTGGAGTAGTTGTCAAGGCATTTGTCTGCTAAACAAAAAATTGTTGGTTCAAACCCACCAACAGCTCCACAGAAGAAAGATGGAGCAATGTGCATCTATAAAAATTTACAGCCTTGGAAACCCAATGGAAGTCACTATGAGTTGGAATCGAATCAATGGCTGTGGGTTTTCTTTGGGTTTTACTATTATAACAAGTCAATGATAGGTTTAAATATGTACACAATTATTTTTTGATGGTTACCATGGAGGAAGGGAGAGGAAGACAGAGGTATTAACTCGGCAGTAGACAAGTGTTTATTCTGGTGGAGAGAACGGCAATATACTATATGAGGAATGTCAGCATGTGTGGCCAAGAGAAAAGAAAATGAGAGTTATGCAAGAATGAACAACAGTTATGGAAAACGCTATCACTTACACCTTATGGCAAAAGCAGTGATAACTAACAGTAAGTTGTGATTAGATATATAAATAAGTATATGTGGTAAATAGGTGAGGGAGGTTGTATGGGAGTATACCTGTGCACATATGTAGGCATGGTGGTAGATATTTCTACACACACTTTTGCAAATAATGCACATATAAGCACATAAATTTTAAAAAATTGCATGGGGATGCAGTTATAGAAGTCCCTTAGATATTGGGATTGTACTGCTAGACTGGAAGGCCAAGGACCATAGTCACAGGAGACATCTAGGTCAATTGGCCTTCATCATATTCTAAGGAGCAGCATTGGTGGCCTGAAAAACTTGCTAGCAGAATCTAAGAAACAACTATTTCTTTTTTCCTGCCTGGAGCAAATGAGAACAAGGAAATATGAAGACTCAAGGAAGCAGTCAGTCCAAAGGACTAATGGCCCATTTGAACCACAGATTCCTCTAACTTGAGACCAGAAAAATAGCTGGTGCCTAAATACAACCACCAACCACTCTGATGAAATGACAAAAGAAGGCTCCCAGTTAGAATGGGTAAAAAATGTGGACCAAAATTAAAATCAATAATAAAAAAAGAAAGACCAAACTACTGGTTAGAAAGACACTAGAGGAATCACTGAGGCAAGCTTCCAACTTGAAACTGAAAACACTCTTGGAGGCCACCTTTCAGCCAAATAATAGAAGGGACTATGAAACAAACATTAACACCTGGGAAGAATCTGGTCTTTAAAACAGTTAACTTTACTGACCAAAAGGGAAACATTTGTCCAAAAACAAAGATGAGAAGACAGAGAGGGAGGGGCAAGCTTGACCAATGGAAATGAGGAACCCAGGGAGAAATAAAGGGAGTGCTGACAGATTGCAGAGATTGCAACCCATGTCAGAACAATTTGCGTATGAGCTATTGACTGGAAATCTAATTTGCTATCTAAACTTTCACCTAGAACAAAATAAAATGTTAAAGTGTTAAAAAAAAAAAAAAACATACAAACCAAAAAAGGCCAAAACAACTACTTAAGCATCTTGAAGAGAATGTTTTAAATATCCACTTTTTAAAAATATGCTTATCATTATATTAACCTTTCATTTTACTTTATGTTTTATTTTAAAGTTTAAAGTGAAAACTGACCAATTCTTTGAGATGGGAATGGCCCCTTCTTCCTAGTCTGTCTTAGTCTGGAAGCTCTGCTGAAACATATCCACCATGGTATTTGAAAAAAACTATGGCATAGCCTTCAACCTCACAGTAACACTTACACCACCACAGTATGACAAAGTGACAAACAAGTGGTGGAAATGATTTCAAGGTGGTATACATTCCACTGTGTTGTGGTTCAGTGGTAGGATTTGGGAGATTTGGCCTTGATTGCCAATCAATCCAGTTCATCTCAAGCATAACTACCACCAGCTCTCAGTGATACTTGTGTGTTTTTGTGATGATGAACAGGTTTCAGCGGAGCTTCCAAACTAAGAGGGATGAGGGAGAAAGGCTTGACTATCAACTTCCAAAAATTAACCAAGGAAAACCTATGGATCACAATGGAAGTGACCCTCCAACAAATCATGGAGATAATGCAATACTGGACTGCATTTTGTTCCATTGCATTGGGTCCCCATGAATCAGGGCTGACTCAAAGGCAGCTAACAACATTGTCAACTAGTGACCATTATTAAACCTTTAGATTTGCTTTTACATCATTAAATAAAAACGTGGACTTATTTTGCAGCAAATTTTGCATTTGTAATAACTCAGAATTGCATCTTTGCTAAGACTTAGTTTTATATTCTATTAAAGTTGGAACATGATTGATTAATGCCAATTTTTTTGATTGACGGATTGAATGTATTCTTTTCTATTAATCATGATATTTAACATAATATCCTGAAATATTTAAGGAAATCATCATTAGACTAACCAGAAAATATACTTTTATATCATATCAAATTTTCAATTTCTAAAACATTGCCATCAGTTCAAGTAAGCATAGTTTTTATAATATGTGTATCATTGCTAAAATTATCCATACATAATTCTGACAATGACTTCTAAATTTTGTCTTTCAGGTGATTGTTATGAGTGTGAACTCTATTGGACCATGGAAAATAGGAATAATGTTACTGTGTTTATTCTCTTGGGCCTTTCCCAAAACAAAAACATTGAAATTCTTTGCTTTGTATTTTTCTTATTTTGTTACATTGCTATTTGTATAGGAAACATGTCCATAATAATTTCTATCACATGCAGTCAGCTAAATGGTCAACCCATGTATTTCTTCCTTAACTACCTCTCTCTCTGTGACCTTTGCTTCACATCCACAGTGACACCTAAACTAATGACTGACTTACTTGCAGAAAGGAAGACCATTTCCTATAATAACTGCATGGCACAACTTTTTATCATGCACTTACTTGGAGGTATCGAGATCTTTATCCTCACAGGCATGGCTTATGACCGCTATGTGGCCATCTGCAAGCCCCTACACTACACTGTCATCATGAGCAGACAGAGGTGTAATGCAATTATCATAGCTTGTTTTACTGGAGCATTTATACACTCTGCCAGTCAGTTTCTGCTCACTATCTTCTTACCCTTCTGTGGCCCTAATGAGATAGATCACTATTTCTGTGATGTATATCCTTTGCTGAAATTGGCTTGCACCAATACACAGAGAATTGGTCTATTGGTAATTGCCAATTCAGGTGTGCTTGCTTTGATGACCTTTGTGATTTTGATGGTGTCTTATGTTCTGATATTATATACCATCAGGCCTTACCCTGCTAAAAGCCGTACCAAAGCTCTTTCAACTTGCAGTTCTCACATAACAGTGGTAGTTCTGTTCTTTGTGCCTGTACTGTTCATTTACATTAGACCAACTGTAACTTTTCCAGAAGATAAAGTATTTGCTCTTTTCTACACCATCATTGCACCCATGTTCAACCCTTTGATCTATACACTGAGAAACATGGAAATGAAGGATTCCATGAAGAAGATGTGGCACCATCAATTGTTTTTGGAAGGAAAGCAACAGGCATGAAAAGCATTTTGCATTTCCCTTTAGTGCTCAAAACTGAGCCTTAAAACTGATGTGGAATGATCCAGAAAATGCATACAAAAGGATTCAAAAGACAGCCACAACTCAGAGCTCAATATCTTTAGCCTTTCCCTAACACTCTTCGTGTTTGGACAACTTATATATATATTTGTGTTCATTCTTACTCTATACTTCTTACATACCTGCCTCAAGTTCATCATATTTTGACATTTTATTTTGACCTGATATTGCAGCTTTTTCTCCTAATTCTTTTGATTTTGTTCTCATTCCATTGAGCTACTATTGAAATAGAAAGCCACCTGGTAGAGAAAACATGTGGTTTTTATAGTCATTGCCCCAGCATTGCAGAGCAGAAGATAAAAGTGAGAATTTTTGAGCTAAGGTTAAGAGTTAAATTAGTGGAATATTTAGTGCTTTTATTAAATCTTCCTTCAGAAAGACAATTCAACACATTTAAAGGAAAAATAAAGGGAGAAAAAAAGCAACAGAATCTTTCCGCTTTCATTGGGTAAGATGCTTCTGAACTCTTCCCCACAAAGGAAGACCCCAGTATCCCAAAAGCCTTGGTAGAAATGTCTGGAAAATGTTAATTTCAATGTTAGGCTAGATTGCATTATCTATAAAGGTTATCTGTATCAGAATAATCTGTAACATAAAGATTAGATCATAAAATTGGTTTCAAAAACCATTTTGAAAAACTCATATAGTAAGAGGGAAAAATAATACATAAATAAATAAGTATAATTTTATATACATATATATGTCCATATGTATATAAAGTGTATATAAAATATATACATGTCATTGAGTCTATTCTGATGTATAATTGACTCCCCTCCATTGGGTTTCCAAGGCTTTAAATCTTTATGGAAGTAGATTGCCTCATCTTCCTTCAACAAAGCAGTTGGTGGATTTGAACAACCAAACTTCTGGTTAGCAGTCAAATACCTTACCCACTATGCCACCAGAGCTCCTTGGCCATATATATATATATTCAAAACTGTGAATGTATGCATATACATATTCAGCACTATGAATATATACTAAATACCACTGATTTGTATCCTTTCATATGATTAATTATGTGTTAGGTGAATTCTGTCTCAATAAATAAAAATGGAAAAAAAAAATATATATATACCAGCACCTCATCGGTCATTGTACTGTGTCTCTGTTAACACAGATAATAAAGTGCTTCTCTGTTCAATAGCCTGTATGTGCAATCCAGATGTGACGAGTTGTTAAGTAATATAAAGACAATGCTGACCTATGGGAATCAGACATGATGGCACATAACAACAACAACAACAACATGGGAATTAGAAGCAATGGACAATTGTCTTTTTTCTTTCTAAATGGAATGTCTAGTATATAATATTTTTACTGCTTTCTGGGAAGATAATCCAGTGAGAGAAGAAACATTTGCTTTTGCCTTTGATGCCAAACAGTGACCGGTTAGATAATTCATAGTCTTATCTTCCCTGTCTTATATCCATTTTACCTCATTCCTGACTTTTAGCTAATAAGGTTTAGCTCAATCTTTGTTTCTTAAGGATATCAGATTAAAGTATTTGGTATCAGACATGGCTAAGAAAGCAAAGCCTCATGATGGGATTTTGGATTCAGGTTTTCCAGTAGTTTGAGAGTATAGGAACCCCACTCCTGATAGGAAGTGGTAATTGCAATCATACTTAAATATATAGAAAAGATTTTGAAGGAAATATACTAGAATGA